AGACAAGCAAGTTCTTCTTGGTGTCCTAAGTGTAGCACTGGGTATCAACAGGAATTTTGTCCTGAAGAAATGTGCCAGCCCTAGCCTTGCAGTTATCTAGAGCCAACTAATCTCTGTGCATGCATTATACTGCAGCAGCCACAGCAGCTCCAGTGTTGCATAAGCTCCACACTCAAGGCTACATCCTCTCCCAGGTCAGGGGAAGGCAGATGGAATGATCCCATGGACAGAAAGGCCTTCCTGACTAGCAGAGATTCCTAGAAAGATGCGTCTCCAAAATTCACCACCCTCCAAGACTCCAGCTGGACCAAGAGCTGGGGCTGGCCAGCCAACCACACAGAGTAAACGTGAGGTGGGAATTCCACAAGTCCTCAACAGTGACAGAACTGTCCTCAGCGAGCAAACCCCACAAAGTAACTCCTCAAGTGCCAACACCTCATCAGTCTTAGTGCAAGCAAGAGAAAACTTGGATTTTTCCTTAGAAAATGAACACTCAGACCCACTGCCTAGCAAAGCTGGCACTTGATTCAGCATTACCCTCTTCACATTTAACAGCAAAGCTCTGAATGTTCTGAAGACTTCACACACTTAACTGAGCCTAAAACCAGGCTCCAATCATTAATCACTTTGGCTGGGCATATAAGGTCACCATATTAGAAACATTATGCATGGTCCACTCATTTCTCTGCCCACCTTGAGAAGAATACACAGCCATCACTTCAGCAGCTTCTCTCCACTTCAAAGTGTGCACAGGCACATATTTTTTAATTTGGGGTTTAGCTTGTGCAAACAGTCTCCACATGCACTGAAAATTTCTGATGATCCAAGCTGAAGCATTTCCCAAAGAATCCTGCACTACATTTAAACAAGTGCAAAGGGACAAGCTGTAATTTGTGAGGGCTTTTTCTAAATCTCTTTCTGAACAACAGCAGTGAAAAAGCAGGGCAGGAAGGGGCTGGGTGACTCTGGATGGGATTGCACCCCACAGCACCTGCTGGAGTGTGGGCTTTGAAGGCTTCAGCTGCCCAAGACCCCTATCCACACAGCTATGGCACAAGGTTTGGGATTTCCTGGGTTGTGAGGAGCAGTGAACGACCTAGCCCATGTCAAACCCCAGAAGAGAAAATGCAGAAACGCATTTGCAGCAATCACCACCTTGCTTTCTCCATCTGGACAGGTCAAAACCCTTCATCCTTGCTTAGTGCAGAAAGAGCAATCTTCCTGGGATCAAACACATCCTGTAACAAGGAGGGAACTGAAACTCTGATGAGTCTCCAGCCAGCAGGGTCGCTGCAGTGCTGTCTATGCTGAAAGACTTCTGAGATGAATTCAGAGCAAAACTGGCACTCATCTTGTCCAAACCCCAACATCATCCCAGGCTCCAGGAGCAAAATGAGTCTGTCAGGCTCTAAACACTGCTAAGTAACATGGTTTAATTCAGAACAAAGAAATACTTTCCCACCAATAAAATGCATTGCCAGTTGGTCTCTTCTAGTTTCTTCTAAACCCTCCCTGTGCTTGTGTGCAAGACAAACTCGTTACAAAACCTCTAACAAACTTCAATTTTAAAATGAGACCAAGTCTTTTAAACAAATGGCATTTCCAGCTCGGCCTCTATTTTTAAACACAGTATGGACTTCATGCCACTAATTCACTTTTTTTTTTTTTTCCTGGAAGCTGAGCCATTTTGAGTCAAGTCCCATAATTTAAAGTTTCATTAAAAATGCAAAGAGCTTTAGGACTGCAAATAGCATGAAGCAGTAGGAGATTCTAAGGAGCTTCCTCCAGCAATTTCAGCATTCCCTGCCTTTCATTCCACGAGACAAACGACGTGTGAGACGTGTAAACTGCACCCAACATCTCATCCTGCCTGAATGTTGCTGCAGTTTGTACCACTATGTAGGTCACGAGCTCCACATGCTTCAGTCGAGCCCTAGGCTCAGCCTAGCTGCCCGTTTGCACCCCTACCACAAGGCCTGGGGACGTGAGACGAAGTTTAACCCGAGCTAGGACAGGCACAAGAAGCAGTTCCATGATTTTTTCCCTTTTTCCCACTTGCTAAACTCACACACAGAGCTCTTAAGACACAGGCTGCATGGAAGTGTTCTCTCTGCTGTTCCCTGCAGTAAAGGGGGCATCACTAAGCTGCACAACTTCAGAAATAACACACAGAGTGCCTCAGAAAACATTCTGGTGCTTGCAGCATCAAGAAACGCAACCATCAAAGAAAGACATTAATCCAAACTTTCCTTCTCACCCATGCGCACCAAAAAGTATCCAGTACTGCAGAAATTAATTAAAACCCAAATAAACCAGAAAAACATCTGAAGCATTAAACAACTGATTCAATGTCTCCACCTTTAAAACCCTTTCTTCTTCTAATTTCAAATTTTTTTTTCCAAGATGTGCATAAAGCCTGCTCAGAGAGAACATCTGATTAGAAGACAAGCAGCAGCAGTGTGGTTTTTAAAGACACACAGGCCCATTTTCATACTCTGCCTGATTTTGGGAAGATGCTGTCTCCCTTTGCTGAAACAAGGATTCTTAAGCAGCTCCTCAGGAACTGAGGGTTCCAAGCACAATGTCCTGTACTGCACATATATCAATATCACTTTTAACAGGATCTGGCACAGCTCAACCAAGGATTTTGGCACCCCAGCACCTCACCCAGCCTGCCTCGGGATAATATCCATGCCCAAAAGCCTCTGGCCACAGGGGACACTGAGACAGGAAGGGGCAGGGGAAAGGGCAGAGCACAGAACACAGGCACCTCACCTGGACTCACTGCAGCTCCTTCCACTCTCCAGCTCCCAAAGCCCAGGTGAGCAGCAGCTGCTGAGTGTTCTGGAGCTGCAGGAGGAACCCAGACTCCATTTCCCACTCCCAGCCAAATGCCCAACTCCTGGCTGCCTCTCCCTTTTAGCTGGACAGAGGCAGCTACCCTGAGCTAACCAGGCTTTTCTAACACCTGGTCCTCCTGCCATGCCTTGTTGAACAGCTCACTTGGGCTTCAGGTTTTCTCTATTTTCCCCTTTATATGACATGGTTGGAGAGCTAAATCCATGGCCATGTGTGTAAGGAATAAATAGGCAATTTCCCAGCTACCAGGAATGGTGGGTAACAATTCCATTGGAGCCTTGCAAAAAGAATCCTGCACAAAGTGATTAAAAAAATTCAACTTTCACTTCCGCAGCAACATCAGCCTTCAAGCAAAGCCACTGCACAGGCAGAAGTCTTCATTCATTAATTATCTGTTCAAAATGTGCAGCTACAAAAAAAAAAATCCCATTTCTTCCTATGATATTTTTTTATCATTAAAAAAACCATACAATCTTTTCCACAAATTTCATGGCAGAACTGTAGGCAGCTGCTCCTTTTAGAAATGCCAGCCTAAGCCCAGTGTAATGACCTGCCTTAACACAAAATTCTAAGAATAAAAATTAAAAATAAGCCATCAGTTCAATTTGTCACATCATCAGGCAATCTTGAGCTTTCAAGAAAGTCAAGGTTCAGCATTCACTAATTTTCTTGCTGGGAGCATATAACCAGTTAAAAAGATGTGTTTGGGTCAAAATATCTCTCCCTACCAACTGCACATCTGGGCAAAGATGCCTGAAACATCAAACTCTTCAACTGTGAAGGCAAAACCTTATGGTTTTGCTACCACTTAACTTCTTCCATAAAGCCAACAAAATCTTCCCAACAGCCAGCAAAATCACCAAGTGCAAACACGTAACAATCCAGGCCTGAAAGTATTTTTATCACAAATAAAACGCAGGAATAATGAGCCAGAGCTTCTGGGTTTTTAACTTAAAGCTAAGCAGGCACTTGCTAAACTCCAGAACATTTCAGGTTGTTTTAAAGCCATCAAAATTTTAGGCCAAGGCTCAATGCAAGAGCTCTGTACTAGCTACAGCTTTTATCCCACTCTAAAACCGGATTTATTTGGAGCACTTGCTCAGACCTGAATGTAATTGCTCCAAAACCCAATAAATTTCCACCTAATCCCGTTGCAGAACGGAAAACATCTCTCCACAGGGAGAAGTCCAGCTCCGAGCACTACTGTCAATATTCATTTTCCCAACTTCTAAGTAAAGTTCTTGCCCCAAAACCTTTCCCACAGCCCCAATCTTTCACCAGCACGGAGCAATACCCTGGCGCCAGCAAAGCCCCTACCCACCATGAATGCTGCAGGGCATTCCAAGCTAAACATCTGCCTGATGTTGCTCCAACACATCTGTTCCAAAGGCCACCAAAACTACACACCGGCTTTTGCCTCATTAGCCATAATTGTACGCTAATTACTTATTCCAGAATAAGTATTCTATACAATCCTCCTCGATGAGACCCGACGCGCTCTCGTTTGTGACACATCCTCGTGCAGCTCACCGGGGAAAAAAAATGGTGGGCTCTGGTTGTTTTTGTTTTTTTTTTTTAAATTTAGGAGTGATTGCAACCTCTTGTCATGGAGAGCCTTGCTGTATCCTAAGGTACAGCTCTGCCTTAGCGGAGGGCTGGAAATCAGGGCAGAGGACACAGGCTTCGACTGAAGCAACCCGAGGAAAGCCACAGGCCTTGCCATGATTATAATCGCAACTCAAGACGAGTTACTAAATTAAAAAAATATCTATCTAGAAAGCGCTGTGCACGCAAATCACGGCGGGTCGGGCGCATTTGCTGCGTGAGCCCAAAAGGCAGCGGCAGAGCCGGAGATAAGCGGCTGCTCCGGAGCGGCCGGGGCTCGGGGCCGGGGGGGCACGGCCCCTCGGCGGCTCGGGGGGGCCGCGGGCCGGCCGGCAAGGAGCGCTGGCGTTAATCCTGGAGCTCCCGTTAATCTGCCGGGCCCGGACAAAAGGCGGCCGAGGCGGCGGCGGCGGGGGAGGGCGCGGCGGCCCGGGCGAGCCCCGGCGGCGGAGCGGCCGGGGGCAGCGCGTTAGGTAACGCCGCGCGGGTCTGATGCAATCGCGGGACGTGCGGGAGCAGGAGCGGGAGGAGGATACAGGTCAGGTCCAGGTCGAAGCCATCCTCCTGGTATCGCCTTTTGTTCCTGCTGACGATCTCTTTGATGATGGCGGTCATGTCTGGCAGCCGGGGGCCGCTCCGGGGCAGTGCGCAGGGCCCGGGCGGCGGCCGCGAGGCACCACCGGGCGGCCCCGGGCGCTGATGCTCCGGCGGCTCAGCCCCGGGCGGGCCCAGCTCCCGGCGGCGGCACCGGCTGCCGCTCCCTCCTCCTCCTCCTTCTCCTCCTCCTCCTCCGAGCGCGTCGGGAGCCGCGCCGAGCCCCTGCGGGCGGTGCCGCCGCCGCCGCCGTGTTTGGGGCGAGCGCGGCGGCGGCGGGGGGAGCAGCTCTGCGGCGCTCCGGGCCCCGGCAATGGTGACAGCGGCGCGGGGCGCGCCCCCGGCCCGGCCCCGCTCCGCTCCCCGCCCCGGGGGCCGGGCGGTCGCTCCCTCGGCTCTTCCCGGCGGCGGCTCCTCAGGGCGGCACGGCCGCGCTCATCCCCCAGCCCGCAGCGCTCGCCGGCGCGGGGCGCCCATCATGGCCGCGGCTTCCGAGAGGGACGGCGGGCGGCGCCGCCACGCCCACGCGACGCATCCGCCAACACACAAAGTAGTCCCTCCCACCCCGCCGCCGGAGAAGCGGAGACGCGGCGGAGCGGGGGCACCGGGGGAGCGGATCGCGCTGCGGGCGCCGTCCGTACCCCTCTGCCCGCCGGCTCCACTCGCCGCACGGAGGGGGCGGGGGAGGGGGGGGCGGCGAGCGGAGGGATACGGGCGGTAAGGTGAGGCGGCGCGGTGCTGCGTTCGGTCACGTGGGCGCTGGCGGCGGTGCCTCCCCCGCGGGCGGAAGTGGCCGTGAGGGGCCGTGAGGGGCCGTGAGGGGCTGCGGGCCCCGCGCCCCCCGAGCCCCCCGAGCCCCCCGAGCCCCGGGACTGCCGCCCCTCGCCTCTCCGCCCGCCTCGGCCGGGCTGGCCGGCAAGAAGGCAGGGGGAAGAACGGGCTCGGTACGGCCCCGCGGGGAAAAGGAACGGGGGGGGCTCAGCCTGGCGTCCTGAAGGGGCTCGTCGTCCTCCCCTCACGCAGCCCGGGGCGGCGTGGAGCGGGGAAGCGGCGGTGAGCGAGCGCCTGTCGCCCCCTGCAGCCACCGGGCACGGAGGGAAGGGGGCTTTGGGCCACCTGCTGCCCTCGGAACGGCAGAATCATTGAGGTTGGAAAATCCCTGCCCGCCCATGGAGCCCCAGCTGTGCCCAGTGCCCACCTTGTCCTCAGTGCCACCTCCAGCCCTTCCTGGGACACCTCCAGGGATGGGCACTCCAAAGCTCCCTGGGCAGCCCCTGCCAAGGCCTGAGCACCCTTTCCATGGGGAAATTCCTCCTGATGTCCTCGGGGTAGCCTAGCTCGGGGACAGGGACATGCCAGTCCCCCCAGGTCAGGCCGGCTGGCCCAGCAGCCCGTGGTATTTCCATGGAGCTTTCTGTCCGTTCTCCTTCCCACAGTGATCACAGTTATCCTGGCAGGGAGAAAACCCTATCTACAAATCTCTAAAGCAGTCTTTATAACTGTTTAAAAACATTAGGGGCTAAACCCCATTGTACAAGGCTCTTTGCACTCTAAGCTGAGAACTGTAATTTTTTGGGAATTTAATGTTTTGCAGGAAAATGACCTTTAAGGGCTCAAAATAAAGTGGAACATCAGGTGGAGGGATTTCCCAGGCTGCTGCAGCCTCCAGCCTTTGCAAATACTCTATTATATAATTCCTTTCAGCAACGTATCAAGTTGCATCTTGAGATGTTTTACCACCACTATTCCCACTGCAAAGCTGTTTCCAGAACCTCCTCCTGGTTTTCAGGCCAAATATATTTGGGGCTGGTCTGCATCCACTTATCCTTGTGCCAAGCCTGGCCTCCAGGAGCACTTTGTGGGCACAGAGGTCCCTGTCAGCCCCCTCGATTTCCACGTTCCCCCTTTCCTCCAGCTGCAAACCCCAAACTGAGAGAATGGAAGTGTCCAAGGCCAGACTGGAGCAAGGTGGGATAGAGTGGAAGGTGGCACGGGGTGGAATGAGCTGGATGGAAGTTCCCAGCCACCCCAGCTCGTTGTGTGTCTGAGTTTTAACTTGTGTTCCCACCTCCTGGCTCTGTTTTAGGTGGGAAGTATTCCAACATGCCAAAGGCTTGGGGACAGAGCTGCCACCAACACTTTTCCCCCATACTTCCCAGTGTATTCCTTTTCCAGAGAGCCCATTGCGCTGGAGCTGTGCATGGAAAACCCACGTGAAATCTGGGAAGGAAATCGGTCACAACCCTGAGCACAATCCCTCAGCATCTGGATAAACTGGAGCCCCATCCAATCCACACCTCCTGCATCGCCACCACCCTGAAAAACTGCACTTCCCCGCGACTTTCAGAAGTATTTTTCCATGGGATTGCTTTCAGAGGTTGCCACCACAACCGTAGGTTTCCAGCTGCTTTTCCTCCTGTGTGTGTGTTTTTCTCCTTAATTGCACCAAAACAGATGTCACTTTTTTCCCAGGAGTGGGAAGAAACCCAGAAGGGTCCTAAATATTTTCCTCCAGGAATGAATGAGCACAATGGTCCACACGAACTGAAAAACAAAAACCTGCAGAAGATTATAATCTTTTTTTACCATCAAAGCCTGCAGGAGCAGCGTGAAAGGGAAGGATTTGCCTGATCAAATTGAAATAATTTCTTCCGTGAAGAAATTCCTGCTGATGTCCCACCTGAACCTCCCTGGCACAGCCTGAGGCCATTTCCCCTTGTCCTGTGTCTGGAAAACCTTGGCTGGAGAGCAGAAGGGCTGAGGAGAAATTGCCAAAACTCCGGGTTAATTACGGCTGTTAGATCTCGTCATTTCCACCTTTTTCCTGGATGTTCTTTCACTATGTGTATGTTGGGAATACTGAGACACGTTTTATATCGGTTATGTACACGTGTGTATGTATAAAATATATAACTATATGAAATATGCCTATATATTAATATATGTGTTGTTTTATATTTATGTTTATAATTTTATATTTCTCTTAACACATTGTATACATTATGAACATTAATGTTATGTGTTAGTGGTGTGAAAAACGCCAATCACTTGGTTTTTAAAACTTTTCAAAGTATAATAATAATACTAAAATGGTTATAAAAATAGTAATACAATTAGAGCAATAAAGTTTAGAGTTAGGACAATTACAAGACAATAAAAAACACAGAATTATGGACATCCGGATGCTCTCGGACACTAAGTCAGGAAAAGCATCCCTTGTGAACAAAGGAATAACAAAAGCAATAGCTTGCTGCATATTCATAAATCTCATACATGATGCATAAATTCCTTGTAAATTAAGAACTTTTCTGGTTTATGTCAACTTCTTCTCCTTAATCTTGGTGGTTCCATAAAGACGGAGAGAAAGTGGAAGAATGTTTGTCTTTTTCAATAAGGAGGCAGTAACTCTTTATGGGTCCCTTTCGCTGCCATCTCTGTGTGAAGAGTTTCTTGATTATCTCACCCTTGCTTGAGCTAGTAAAAAAATCCTACATGGCAGAGCTTCTATTTTAACATTATATTGTAACCTAAAACTACATTTAACACAGCACTTAAGAGAATTAACGCAGCATGACTTTCTAACATCACACATACAATATTCATTGTAACATTTGCGAAAAGCCAATCATAAACCATGCATTTTTCACAGTGGCGATGGAGCGGAGCTCCCGCTGTTCCACCGGGAGAGCCGCTCGGTGCTGATCCCGGTGGATCCCGGTGGATCCCGGCCCCGCATCCGGTGGGCGGAACCTTGGCGCGGGCCGCCGCCGGCCGGAACCTTTGGGCGGAGCGGCGAGCGCCGCCCGGACGGAGGAAGCGCCGGACGCGCCGCCGCTGCCGCCGGGCCCTGGGCGCCGCCGCCGGTGTTCGCTCCGCTTCTCCCGCCGCTCTTCCTCCTCCTCTCCTTCCTCCTCCTGCCGCTCGCCCCGCCCCGCGTCCCGGAGAGCCGCCGCACGGTGAGTGACCCGGCGGCACGGCGGCGGAGCGGCCCCGCCGCGCCGCACCAGCCGGGCGGCGGGAAGGTCACGGGCGGCGCGGCCCGGCCCGGCCCGGCCCGGCCCGGGGCAGCCGTGACGGGGCCGCCCGGCACCGGGGGGGATCCCCGCGCTGCAGGGGCTCCCCGGGCCCGGGGCAGGCCAGGCTCTCCCGGCAGTGCCTCGATTTGCCCTCGGGGCGGAACGGAAAGCAGCGCCGCTGCCGCTTTTGGTTTCCCTTCTGCACCTGAACGGGGAGAGCGGAGCCGCTGCGGGCCCGGCGAGAGGAGTCCTCGCCTCAGGGAAAGCAAACGCTGAGTTCCTGCGGCTTTGAGCGTTTGGGTGTTGTCAGAGCTTCAGTTTCTCTCGTGTTCGAGCTTTTCCTTTCGGTTGGCGCTCAGGGCACGGGTTGCATAAGAAGCAGGTTCCTGCACGGGGATTTTGGGGAGGTTTTCTCCTTGCCCAGTGACTACAGAGCCCTTTTATTTTATTAAATTAGGCTGACGAGGACACGTAGCATCCCCCAGCTCCGAAGCATTTCCTCAGACCCTTTAGCAGGGATCCAGGCAGAATTTGGCTGTGGGTGCTGCAGGGCTCCCTGGGGAGGGGGATCCAGGCAGAATTTGGCTGTGGGTGCTGCAGGGCTCCCTGGGGAGGGGGATCCAGGCAGAATTTGGCTGTGGGTGCTGCAGGGTTGCCCTGGCTGCCAGCTTGGTCTGGAGGGTGGCCAGGGAGTGGCAGGAGCTGCCAAAGGAATTGCTGCTGGTTTTGCCCTTGTAGAAGGAAAATGGGGCAGTGCCCAAGGAGTGATTTGGGGGTTCTCAAGCAGATCCCCCCCCAGCAGCTGAGGAAGAAGTGGACCTTGATTTTACAAGTCTTTTCCCAGTGTTTCAGCAAAGTTCTTTCCTCTCTACCTTTTGTTCCCAAGGCTGAGGGTGCTGTGCTCTCTGGGCTTGGCTCATGCAGCAGTCAGGCTTTTCCCTGGATAGCTGTGTGCCACATCCAGCATTTTCAGGTTTCCAGGGATATTAATAACTCCCCATCCATCCTGCCAGGTGCAGGCTCCAGCTCTTAACCTCATTTTAATCAAACGTGAGTGAGTCTCTGATTGCTCCTTAATGTGGCAGCCAGTGCCTTTCCTGTCAGCTTCCTCTTAGGGAAACACCTCTCTGCTTAAACCATGGAGTTCCCTGGCTCTAGGG